AGGGGAGAGAGTGAAGGAGGAGGGTGAGAGGGAAGGAGGGAGGAGGAAGGCGGGAGGGAGGAGGAGGAGGAAGGAGTGGAGGGAGGGGAGGGTGTGAGTGGAGCGGAGGATGGGGAGAGGAGGAGGAGTGAGGAGGTGGAGGAGGAGAAGAGGAGAGAGGGAGGGGAGGGAGGGGAGGGGAGTGAGAGTGGGAGAGGAGGGAGGGAGGAGGAGGAGGGAGGGAAGGAGGGAGGAGGAAGGAGGGAGGAGGGAGGAGAAGGGGAGGGAGCGAGGTAAATGAGGGAGGGAGGGAAGGAGGGAGGGAGAGGAGGGGAGGGAGGGAAGAGGATGGGAGGAGGGAGAGAGGGAAGGAGAGAGGAGTGGAGGGAGGAGGAGGGAAGGAGGATGTGCGGGAAGGAGGAGGGGAGGGTGTGAGGAGGGTGGCGGGAGGGAGGAGGCAGGTGTGAGGGAGGGAGGAGTGGGAGGAGGGAAGGAAAGAAAGGAAGGGAAGGTATTTCATCTAATACTACCACTTCAACAAACAACATCAACAACAAACGTTAAACAACAACAATAACAAATAATAATCCAATACAATCATCAATAAAAAAACACAAAATACGACAAAAAAAACAACCAAAACAATTCCTTTCTTTGTTTTCCAGAACGTATCATTCAACGCCATACAAAAACAACTCTATCGATCAAAACACAAAAAAAAAAATGACTTTTCCCACAATGGTTCTGTTCATCTGAGGATTCCTATATATAAAAAAAAAACATGCATATTGGTCAAACCGATGATGGTCAAAATTATTAATATATCATTTAACATTTTTATTTTTGTCAGGTAGAAAATATTAAATTGCTGGATAAGAAAAATGTTATTAATTTTTCAGTATATTATCGTTCAGTGAGTGAGAGAGAGAGAGAGTATATAGAGGGGAATGAGAGAGAGAGAGATATAGAGAGAGCAGGAGAGAGATATATAGAGAGAGAGAGAGAGAGAGAGAGAGAGACATCACAAAATCAGGTACAAAAGATAGTGTGGTGTAACAAGCCAGCCGTAATGATAGTAGTAGTAGTAGTAGTAGTAGCAGTGTATTGGCAAGGTAGCGTAACAGCAGCTCCTACCTTCCAAACTTACATACCTCCTAGATGGCTTGCTGACCAGGGGAGAGAGGAGAGCAGAGAGAGAGAGAGAAAAGAGAGAGAGAGAGAGAGAGAGAGAGAGAGGAGAGAGAGAGAAGAGAGAGAGAGAGAGAAGGAGCAAAAGAATCCACTAAACGACACAACACGGTAAAACATTCTCACCTGATCCTACACAGAAACTCACCAAACCTGACCCAACCTAACCCAACCAAACCCAACCAAAACCAACCAAACAACTCCAATCCAAACCCAACCAAACCCAAACCAACCAAACCCCAACCAACCAAAACCAAAAACCTAACCTAACCCAACCAAACCAACAAAACCCAACCAACCCAACCAAACCCAACTCAACCTAACCCAACCAAAACCCAACCCAAACCAAGCCAAACCCAACCTAACCTAACCAAACCTAACCCAACCCAAATCAAACCTAACCCAACCAAGCCAAACCCAACCCAACCCAACCAAACCCAACCCAACCAAACCCAACCAAACCCAAACCAAACCAACCAAACCCAAACCAAACCCAACTCAACCAAACCAATCAAACCAAACCCAACCCAACCCAACCCAACCAAACCAACCAAACCTAACCAAACCCAACCCAACCAAACCCAACCTAACCTAACCCAATCAACCTAATCTAACCCAACCTAACCTAACCCAACCCAACCTAACCCAACCTAACCCAACCTAAAACCCTAGCCTAACCAAACCCACCCAACCTAAACCCAACCCCAAACCCCAACCAAACCTAACCAAACCAAACCCAACCCAAACGAACCCAACTAAAACCTAACCTCACCCAACCCAACCTAAACCAAACCCAACCCCAAATCCAAGCCAAACCTAACCCAACCCAACCCAACCTAACCCAACCAAACCAAACCCAAACCAAACCCAACCCAACTCCCAACCAAACCTAACCAAACCCAACCCTACCTAACCAAACCCCCAACCAAACCCACCCAACCAAACCCAATCAAACCAAACCTAACCTCACCCAACCCAACCTAAACCAAAACCCAACCCTCACCAAACCTAACCCAACCAAGAGTTCCCAGATACCTTTACCGAGACAACAATGATAATCTGATATTGATTTTTCTCTCTTGAATGATGTTGGAGAACGTATCTAATTAAAGTAGAGTCTCACGCAAAACCATCAACCATTTTACAATTTATTATTCTATCTTTTTAGCTTAAGTTTATCATATATTTGGGTCTTAAGTTACGAAGAATATTAACATTGCCGATCTCTGAGGACTCTGGGAACTGAGCGACTAACGCGGCACTATATTAAACATGGCTGCTACATTGAAACACATCTTCATCTACCACACTTTCTAAACCCCGAGAGTAAGTGGTTTAGTGGTGTTTATCCTCGCTATCTGGCTGTTAGGATGGGGATAGAGAATAGAAAAGGATGTGACGTAGGAGAGAGAAGGAAGGAGGCAATTTTTTTAGGAGGAGGAACTGAATTCAAAAATCCGCCATGCTGATAGGTAGTATTTATGTACGTTATGTTGTGGGTGTGAGGAGAGGAAGAGGGGGGAGGTGGAAGAGGAGGAGAAGAGGGGGGGAGGAAGAGGAGGAGGAAGAGGAGGAGGAAGAGGAGAAAGACAGAAGAACGGCCTGAGAGTAATTGAAGATAGCCGTCACAACAAAGAGATACTGAGAGAGACGATAAACAGGAATCCATGTGGTAAAAAAAGGACGACACAACCAAATCCAAAATAGTCACCAGAGTAATAAAAAAATGGTCCCACAACAATAAATCCACATATGCTGCTACACTGAGACATACCACAGGATTAAACAGACTTGTAGGAAATTAGGAAATTTAACTATTATTGCCTTTAACAGAGGAGTCAGATGGGAGGATGGAAGAGAGAGGGAGGGATGGGACATAGGGAGGATGGGAGGGAGGGAAGGAAGGAAAAAAAAAGGAGGAGATGAGAGAGGAAGATATATACGAAGGCTTGCTATGACATAATATTCAAATGGGCCGCCAAACTGAGACAATAAGAAACAAATATGATACAATTATATTCTATGTGACTATTTGTTTGGTCTTACATCCTTAATTTATTTATGGAAGATAGAAAGAGAAGAAGAGAAGGAGGAATAAAATGAAGAAGAGGTGAGACCAAAATGAAAAAATAAAATATAGTAAAACATATATAATTCAAATGACGCCAAAACAAAAATTCTGAAGATTATTGAGTTTTTATCATTGTTTTAATTACTCTATTTGTTGTGGAAAAAAAAGGGAAGAGGCACAGGATAATAACTGAGGAGGAGAGGTTAAACACGATATGATAAGAAACTATGATAGATAATCAATACAAAAATGGCCGCCCAATTTGGTATAACTTCAGGATATAGGGTTGTTTAGCACTATATACCCAAAGTATCCAGTGAAGGTGAAGAAGAGAAAGGAAGAGGAAGGAAGAAGAAGGACAGGAAGAGGGAAGGAGGAAACAGAAAATAGAATGATATTTAGAAACTGAATCCAAAATGCACGCCAAAATTATTACATCAATAAATATGAAATTGCTTAAACATTATCTACCCATAATCCCGTGGTAAGGGAAGAGAAGGGAGAAGGAGAGCAGGAGGGAGGAGAGAAGGAGGAGGGGAGGAGGAGGAGGAGGAGGAGGAGGAGAGGAGGAGGAGGAGAGGAGCAGGGAGGGAGAGGTTGAGAGGATTAGGAAGGATGGTTAGGCACCACACCTAGAGCTCGCCCAGCCTCAGATACATTCCCGCCTAACCACCAGTATCCCGGGAATTAAGGCGTAGTTCAGTGCCAATTTATCTGTGCCAAATGGAGGAAGGGAGAGGGAGAAGGCAGGAGAAGAGGAAGGAGGGAGGAGAGGAAGGCAGGGAAAGGAGAAGGAACAGGGAAAAAGAGAGAAAGGAAGGAGGGGGGGAGATAGAGAAGGAGAGAGGATGATGGAAGAGGAGGAGTGAAAAGGGAGAAAGGAGAAGGATGAATGGGTCAGCGGAGGAGGGACAGGAGAAGAAAGGAATGAAGGAAGGAGAAGTAGTGATCCGTTCCATGGTCCCTGGCTCTCTCTACCCTCCCCTTAGTGGTCCGTTCCATGGTCTCCTGGCCCCCACACCCTCCCTTAGTGGTCCGTTCCATGGTTTCTGACCTCCACACCCTCCCTTAGTGTGTCCGTTCCATGGTCCCTGGCCCTCCCTAGTGGTCCGTTCCTGTCTCAGGCCTCCACACCCTCCCTAGTGGTCAGTCCATGGTCACCCTCCCACCTCCCAGTGGTCCGTCCCATGGTCTCTGACCTCCACACCTCCCTTAGTGGTCCGTTCCATGGTCTTCGACCTCCACACCTCCCTAGTGCGGTCCGTTCCATGGTCCGTGGCCCTCTCACCTCCCTTAGTGGTCCGTTCCATGGTCTCGGCCTCCACACCCTCCCCTTAGTGGTCCGTTCCATGAGCCCTGACCTCCACACACCTCCCCTTAGTGGTCCGTTCCATGGCCCTCCACACTCCCTTAGTGGTCCGTTCCATGGCCCTGGCCCCCACACCCCTCCCCAGTGTCCGTTCCATGTCTTCTTACTACCTCTTAGTGGTCCGTTCCATGGTCCCTGCCCTCCACACCCCCTTTAGTGGTCCGTTCCATGGTCCCTGGCCTCCACACCTCCTTAGTGGTCCGTTCCATGGTCCCTGGCCCTCTCACCTCCCCTTAGTGGTCCGTTCCATGGTCCCTGGCCTCCACACCCTCCCCTTAGTGGTCCGTTCCATGGTCCCTGGCCCTCCTTAGTGGTCCGTTCCATGGTCCCTGGCCCTCCACACCCTCCTTAGTGGTCCGTTCCATGGTCTCTGACCTCCACACCCTCCCTTAGTGGTCCGTTCCATGGTCCCTGGCCTCCACACCTCCCTGTGGTCCGTTCCATGGTCCCTGGCCCTCCACACCCTCCCTTAGTGGTCCGTTCCATGGTCCCTGGCCCTCCTTAGTGGTCCGTTCCATGTCCCGGCCAATCACCAGCAGGAGGTCGTCCCCAGCCACCGTCAGGATAACTGACACTCTGGCCATTAGTGTCTTGGGTCCCCTCCACGCCCGGCCAGAGATCCACGCCCATGCAAGGATCCACGCCCATGCAGAGATCCACGCCCATGCAGTGGGTTCCACGCCCATGCAAGGGATCCACGCCCATGCAAGGATCCACGCCCAGACATAAATCCACCCATGCCAGAAATCCACACCCAGCCAGGGATCCACGCCCATGTTAAAACACGCCCACGCTCATGCCGCCCATCAAGGGAAGCTGCGGCACGAGTCAGCATCAAAGAGTGAGGTACAGCAGGGGAGAGACTTTAGCTTTTTAGGGAGAGTGACAGTGGAACAGGAAAATTGCTGGGGGAGAACATTTGTTAGAGGCAGGAGAATGGTGGGGAGAAAGAGGGAAGAGGTGGGGAGGAGGGAGGACGAGGGGGAAGATGGAGGATGGTGGAGAGACGAGGTTCAAGGTGGGAGGAGGAGGAGAGCATGTGAGGAGGAAGTGAGAAGTAGGTGGGGAAAAATTGGGGAGAAACTGGGAAGAAACTGGGGAGAAACTGGGAGAAACTGGGGAGAAACTGAGAGAGAGGATTGGTAGTTCTGAGGGAAAACACTGTGGTAGGGAATTCCATGCAGTCTTAGTCGTGGGTGGGGGGAAGGAGAGGGTAGGGGGAGGGGGAGGGAAGCTGCAACGTGTGTGGTGAGAGAGAATAAAAAAAAGAGAACAGAGAGAGAACAAGGAGAGAAATAAGAGAGAACAGAGAGAGAACAGAGAGATACTAAAGCCAGTGTATAATAATTGCAGTTTCAGGTAAGGATTATTATTGACTGTTTTGATAACCCTCCCCCCCCACAGACATACACACCTGACCTTTAGTATGTCTCAAAGTTCAGGGTACACACACACACACACACACACACACACACACACACACACACACACACACACACACACACACACACACACACACACCACACACACACACACACACACACACCTCACACTCACACACAGGAATTCTTAACAATATATCCGCACGATGTAAGAGAGAGAGAGAGAGAGAGAGAGAGAGAGAGAGAGAGAGAGAGAGCGCAGGGTGCCAACTTTGACCTCCCACAATGACCCATTATAACAAGCTAAGGAGGAAAGATCACATGAGGATAATTTGCCAAGGAAGATCGATGGTTAGAAGTGTGTCAGGTGAAGTTAGGGAGGACGGTGAGGCAAGTGCGTTAAGATGGTGAGGCAAGTGTGTTAAGATGGTGAGGCAAGCGTTAAGATGGTGAGGCAAGTGTGTTAAGATGGTGAGGAAAGAAGATGGTGAGGAAAGTGTGTTAAGATGGTGAGGAAAGTGTGTTAAGATGGTGAGGAGTGTGTTAAGATGGTGAGGCAAGTGTGTTAAGATGGTGAGGCAAGTGTGTTAAGATGGTGAGGAAAGTAAAGATGGTGAGGAAAGTATGTTAAAAGAAGATGGTGAGGAAAGTGCGTTAGATGGTGAGGAAAAAGTGTGTTAAGATGGTGAGGAAAGTGCGTAAGATGGTGAGCAAGTGTGTTAAGATGGTGAGGAAAGTGTGTTAAGATGGTGAGGCAAGTGTGTTAAGATGGTGAGGAAAGTGCGTTAAGATGGTGAGGAAAGTGTAAGATGGGAGGCAAGTGTGTTAAGATGGGAGGAAAGTATGTTAAGATGGTGAGGAAAGAAGTGTTAAGATGGTGAGGAAAGTGCGTTAAGATGGTGAGGAAAAGTGTTAAGATGGTGAGGAAAGTGGTAAGATGCGAGTAAGTAAGGAAGATGGTGAGGAAAGTGTGTTAAGATGGGAGGCGGAAGATGGTGGAGAAAGTGTTAAGATGGTGGGAGGAAAGTGTGAAGATGGTGAGGCAAGTGTGTTAAGATGGTGAGGAATGTGTGTTAAGATGGTGAGGAAAGGCAGATGGTGAGGAAAGTGTGTTAAGATGGTGAGGCAAGTGTGTTAAGATGGTGAGAAAGTGTGTTAAGATGGTGAGGAAAAGGCAAGAGATGGTGAGGAAAGTGTGTTAAGATGGTGAGGCAAGTGTAAGATGGTGAGGAAAAATGTGTTAAGAGGAGGAAAGTGTGTTAAGATGGTGAGGAAAAGGTGTTAAGATGGTGAGGAAAGTGCGTTAAGATGGTGAGGAAAGTGTGTTAAGACGTTGAGAAAAGAAGTGCGTTAAGATGTGAGGAAAGTGTGTTAAGATGGTGAGGAAAGTGTGTTAAGATGGTGAGGAAAGTGTGTTAAGATGGTGAGGAAAGTGCGTTAAGATGGTGAGGAAAGTGTGTTAAGATGGTGAGGAAAGTGTGTTAAGATGGTGAGGAAAGTGTGTTAAGATGGTGAGGCAAGTGCGTTAAGATGGTGAGGAAAGTGTGTTAAGATGGTGAGGAAAGTGCGTTAAGATGGTGAGGAAAGTGTGTTAAGATGGTGAGGAAAAAGTGTTAAGATGGTGAGGAAAAGTGTTAATGTGAGGAAAGTATGTATGTATGTATGTATGTATGTATGTGTATGTATGTATGTATGTATGTATGGGGGGGTCAGCGACACACACACAGGGCACTGACCTAGTTTCTAGTCAATTGTTTAAAAGCCCAATGCTGTGGGGAGGGTGAGAGTGAAAGATGTACACACATACACACATATACACACATACACACACATACACACACACATACATACACACACACACATACATACATATATATACATATACACACATATACATACATACATATACATATACATACACACATAAACATACACACATACATACATACACACATACATACACACACACACATACATACACACACACACACTATACACACACACATACACACATACATACATACATACATACATACATCTGCTGTTAGTTTCTAATGACTTGACAGGAAGATGTGAATAATTTGGTGAGTTCAAGTTGTTCGCTGTCTCCTTCTGTCTCTTTCTGTCTGTCCTTTCTGTTTTAATCGTCTCTTCTTTTGTCTTAATCTGTTTCTCTGTCTTTCTCTGTCTTAATATGTCTCTCTCTCTCTCTCTCTTTCTGTCTCTCTCCGTCTCTTTCTGTTTCTCTCTGTCTCTTTCTGTCTCTCTCCGTCTCTTTCTGTCTCTGTTTCTGTCTTCGTTCTTTTTCTTTCTGTCTGTCTCTTTAATTTCTCATCTACTCTCTGTTCATTTATCGAATCCACCAGTCCTCTCTTCTTCTTCTTCTTCTTCCCATTCCTCCTCTCTGATTGTTCCCCACCCCTCTCTTTCTCCTCCTCTTTCCTCTTTCTTCCCACCCCTTTCTCTTCCTCCTCACCCTCCCTTTTCTACCCTTTCTTCTTCCTTTCACTTCTATTTTCTCCCTTTTCCTTTTTTATCTCGCCCTCTCCCCTCATCTCCTTCCCACAACTCGAACAGAAATCAGGAGACGACCTTTCCACAAAAACCAAGAATGCTCCCAACTGGGATTGTGGTGGTGGTGGTAGTAGTAGTGGTGGTGGTAGGGTGTAAGATGGTGGTGGTGAGGGGTATGATAGTGGTGAGATGGTTGGTGGTGGTGGAAGGGTGGTAAGGGGTAAGATGGTGGTAGTGATTGTGGTAGGGTGAGGGTTAAGATGGTGGTGGTGGTGTAGGGTGGGTGATGGTGGTAGGTGGTGGTAGTGTAAGATGGGGTAAGTGTGGTGTGGTGGTTGTAGAGGTGAGGAAGAAATAGTAGATGGTTGGTGGTGGTGTAGGGTGTGAGGGTAAGAATGGTGTGGTGGTAGGGTTGCAGAGAGAGGTAAAAGGGTGGGTGGTGGTGGTGGTAGGGGAGATGATAGGTAGTAGTGAGGTAAGATGGTGGTAGTGATGGTGGTAGTGGTGGTGGTAGTGGTGAGGGGTAAGATAGTGGTGAGATGGTTAAGTGGTGGTGGTGGTGGTAGGAGATGATAGTGGTAGCAGTGGTGGTGGTGGTGATTAGGTTAGCTTAGACCACTGTGACAAGAGAGAGAGAGAGAGAGAGAGAGAGAGAGAGAGAGAGAGAGAGAGAGAGAGAGAGATACTACACACAGACCAACATAGATAATCCCTTGATACCTATTAATGTTCTCGCCATTGTTGTTTAATTAATCTCATTACACCAAGCATTAATCAGTCAGGTATAAGTTTAAAAATACTATAATATATCGTCTACTTAACTCTGTAATTAACTAAAATATTTTATGTATAACTATTTCAGGTGAAGGTAGGAGACATGTTGGGTTTTGCTGGGTTTGCTTGGGTCTTGTTGGGTTTTTGCTGGGCTTGCTGGGTTTTGCTGGGCTTGGTTGGGTTTGGCTGGGCTTTAGAGCTTGGGTCTGCTGGGCTTGGGAGATTGGTTGGGTTTAGCTAGTTGGCTGGGTTTTGCTGGGCTTGGTTGCTGAGGTTTAAGGCTTTAAGTGAGTTTTGCTGGGGATTTGGTTGGCTCTTGGCTTGGCTAGCATTTCATTCAATTTTACACAGTTATTCCGACTGTCTGTCTGTCTGTCTGTCTCTTCCTCTCACTCTCTCAATCTCTTTCCCTCACTCTCACTCTCTCAATCTCTTTAAAGGGGATTTACCAATGCACACACACACACACACACACACACACACACACACACACACACATACACACACACACACACACACCCAATCAATCATCAGGTCCCCTAAAAACACCCTAATTACCTGCCATTATACACACACCCTTACCTGTCACCTGTAATCAATTATTTTTCAATCATGTTTTTTTAGGGGGGAGGAAGGCTAAGAGGGGGTTGGGGGGGTTGGAAGAGGTGGAGGAGGGGGGGAAGATGAAGATTGTGGTAATTAGCGAGAGGTGATTGTAAATAATATTGGTTGATGATTATTTTGTCTGTCTGTCTGTCTGTCTGTCTATCTGTCTATCTGTCTATCTGTCTATCTGTCTATCTGTCTATCTGTCTACATCTTCCCCTCTTTCTCATATGATCTTATGTATATAGTTTTTCTCTACACACACACACACACACACACACACACACACACACACACACACACACACACACACACACACACACACACACACACACACCTCACATTTTTGGTATATATTTTCAGAGTTATTTTTTCAGCTCCAGGTCACCCTCATTGTTACCACACACGGAGGCCTCTAAGTGCATGACATTATTCCTCACCCTCTTTGTTAGA